AAATCCAACACCACATCATGCTAAAAACCCTATGACAGACATAGAAGGAACATTCTACAACACAATCAAAAATCCAATGCCAGCTTTATACTAAGTGGAAAGAGACTGGAAGCTTTTCCACAAAGATCTGGAACTAGACAAGGATATCCACTTTCAACACTGCTATTCAGCATACTAGAAGAAATCCCCACTATTAGTAGTAGGCAAGAAAAAGGAATGACATTCCAGACCTCAAGACATACTACATGTCAGTGGTCATCAAAACAGAGAAAAAGATCAAAGGAACAAAATAGAAACCCCAAAATTGAGCATACACATGTACAGCCAACTAATCTTTGACAACGAAACTGAAAATAACCCAGGAAAAATGTTTGGTCTCTTCAGCAAATTTTGCTGGGACAACTGGATATCAGCTTGCAGAAGTAAGAAATGACCCTGAACATCTCAAATCTTCAGATGAGAAACTGACCAGCAGCCTTATATTTATAGCAGCACAATCTACAATAGTGAAGACAGGGAAATAACCCAGATGCAAGGTGAAAGAGGAATGCATAAAGAAACTGTGGTACATCTACTCGATAGAATATGACTCAGCCATTAAAAAGTGAAATTCTGCCATTTGCAACAAATGGTCCCAAGTGAGGACATTACTCTCAGTGAAATAAGCTAATCCCAAAAGGACAAATATCCTATGTTCTCTCTGATACAAGGCTGTATATGAGTAAAATACAAAACAAATACATGGGTAAACATGTGTTACACACACACACACACACATACACACATACATATATTCTTACAGATTAATCGTATAATGGGGGTTAGCATACCAGGAAGTGAAGATGCAATGCAGTTTGCGCTTCTACTCCCAAACCAAAGGAGGACTCCCAGTGAAACAATTAAGCACCTTTGACAATACCATACTGAACTATACACCATCACCTATACGTAGTGTCACGATACACTTAAATAGCAGAATGCTGGACTTGTGACTGTTACTGAAGGCCTATCCCATTATAACAATATTGGGTAAAATGGTGTGGGGGCAGAGTAGAATGGTCAGGGAGGAAGGAGAGGAAGATGGGGCAATACCTAAACCTAGAGAATTGTATCATGAAAAATAATAACAATAAAAATACCAAAAAGGGATAAAGGAAACATAATAGAGCCATTAATAAAGTAAGGACAGTGGTAGGGAAACTTTTCTGAGAAAATGACATGAGAAGTAAGAAGAAAGAAATTAGAAGCGACTATCTATTACAGGGAGATTATTCAAGGCATATGCAGTGGCCCCAGAGGGAAACAAACTTGATCTATCTGAAAAAACAGTCAAAAATGGTGTGTCTGCCAGTGATCCACAGACAATGTCACTGTGGGAGCAGCTGAGGGTGGTGAAGCTCAGGGTGTCAGGACTGGAGGGGAAATGAGCCAATGAGGTACACGGCCAGGGCAAGTTCACTAATGGCCCCATCAAGCCAGGTGAAAATACTTCAGGGGGCAGTCACTGAGAGATCTTAAGCAAAAAAGTGACACTTTAAAATGATCATTCTAAATAGCATCATATTAAATTCCCTCTAACATAAACATGACTACACGAATAAACATGAACAGAGAACACTAAAGATGCCAACCAGTGCAACACAAATTCCAGATACTAAAAATGCTATTGTTTAATCTCAAGGCCAATATCATCATTATATATACCTCTGCCTTCTCACATACTACAGAAATAAATACCCAATAGACTACTGAGTTAACTGTTTAGTGTAAGACTATTTACACTTGATTCCCTATGAAAAAGAAAAACAATTCTATAGAGAACTGTAAATTGAGATTTCGTGGCACAACAGTTTAAGCCCTGCCTGCAATGATGGCATCTCATATGAGCACTCCAATTTGAGCCCCAGCACTCCACTTCCAATCATGCTCCTATTTCATTGCTAACGTGCTTAGAAGAGCACTGTAAGTGGATGGAGATCCAGGCTCCCAGCTTCAGCCCCAGCCATTCAGCCATTTAGAGAGCGAACTGGAGAACAGAAGATCTCTCTACATCAATCTCTCCTTCTCCAACTCTTACTATCAAATAAATGGAATAAAATATTTAAAAGCAAATTGTGGGCCCAGTGCAATGGCTCAGTGGCTAAATCCTCCCCTTGCATGCCCAGGATCCCATATGGGCACAAGTTTGTGTCCAGGCCCCAGGCAGCTCCATTTTCCATCCAGCTGCCTGCATGTGGCCTGGGAAAGCAGCAGAGGACGGCCCACAGCCCTGGGACCCTGCACCTGTGTGGGAGAGCTGGAAGAAGCTCCCTGCTCCAGGGCTCAGATTGGCTCAGCTTTGTTCATTGCAGTCACCTGGGGAGTAAACCAGAGCATGGAAGATCTTTCTCTCTGGATCTCCTTCTCTTCATAAATCTGCCTTTCCAATACAAATAAATATTTTTAAAAGGATTTTTGTCTAATTTGGAATTTGGTAAGCCTGCTCTCTCTGTAATCACAAGCTGTGTTTTAAAAATACAGATGACAAAAAGGCTTATATTCAGATTTGTCTTGAGCAGAAAACTGAACAAATATCATCAGATGCTTGGAGATTCCAAATGGAAATTGCCCAACCACAATCCAGGTGCTTTTCTGATTATTACAGGTCCTGCTCCTTGGAGCTGGCTCCCGTCTCACTGAATGATTTTTCTTTCTTAACTTACAAGGACAAAGGAAGAATAAGTGATTTCTGCTGTCTGTTTCTATGGCAACTAATACCTTAATTTCACCTCTTATATGGCAATTATACTATTCACTGCATAGCTTTCAACCCTCACTTATGATGAAAAAGATTGATTTCATGAAAAATGAGATACAGGTAACAACTGAACTTTTTCTTCAGCAGCCATGAAGTACAGCTTATGACAGTATGATCATCCATAAGCAGAATGCACCTGGGGGGGTCTTATTTATTTATTTATTTATGTATTTATTTATTTATTTGTAGAATGCTTATCCAGAATGTTTTCTTCCAGCTTTTTCTAATGAAAAAAAATTATTGTCTCCTTTTTAATATTTATTTTTATTATAAAATTGATTTATTACAAAGAATTATAAGAATCATAAAGAATTGACAAAAAATGGTTTTCCTAATATAGAAAGATTCAGCATTAATAATCTGCTAGCATGTTAGATCTACGTACATATAATATTCAAATCCTATTGTGTATATTTTTGTAATGAGATTTTTAACAAAGCATATTATAAGTAGTCATTTACTTCATTAAATAATTCTTCTGAGACATGATTTATCTGTGGAGTTATAATATATTATAATATATTATAATATGTTTTACTTAGTCCTTTATGTTAAAATGATTATATGTAAACTTAGTGTACATTTCTATTGGCTTAGAATAGATACAAGGAAATAAAATATATGGACAAAATAAGTAAGATAATTTAGATAAAATTTCAGATAAATTACAAACTTTTCATCCAGAAATTTTTTTCAATGTAATTTCCCACTGGAGATAGATGAATGGCAGTATCCATCTCTTTAAATTTCTGATTGATTATACTGTTTTTTAAAGACTGGCAGAAAGCATCTTACTATACTTTTAGTTTCTGGTAATTAACAGCTTAAAGCGTTCAATATATTTTTGCATTTTCCTGGTGGATTTTTTGGAGGAGGAGAGAGAACACAGATACAATAGGTTCACTGCATGTTCATTCCTGCAGCAAACTGTTTCTTGTCCTCTATTACGTATTCTCCCATTTCTTACTACCAGAGGAGGTCCATGCCACAGCAGAGAAATGTTCTTAACGGAAGAGTACATGTCTTCCTTCTCCCCTTCATCGTTCTGAGGAGTAGACCTATAGGGCCAGCAAGCCATTTTGGAGCGCAAAGAGAAATGCCACATTCTAGAGAAGGTAAAACCAAAAACTAGAGGTAGCTGAGCTCCTAAGAACTCTTCAGTAGTATCATTTCGGATGGCTGCCAATCTCCAGAGTTTTATGTGAAAGAGTAACACTCTGCATATTTAGCCCACAATTAGGTTGTATTTTGTTGTATTTTGTTGTTATATGTAGTCAAACTTAATCTTGGCACAAATTGTTTTCACTACCTTTATTTCTCTTTTGGATTTTCAAGAGACCATCCCATTTTAAATATACTTGTGTTTATGTCTTGGAACATGTGATTCAAATTTTCCTCAGGCTATCATTTGCTCCACAATTTTGTTTACAGAAATTAAGGGATGGCAGTGCGGCTCAGGATATTAAGCTACTGCTTGAAATGGCAGCATTCCATGTAGGGGTGTGGGCTTAAATTTCAGTTTCTCCCTTTTTACTCCAGCCTTCTGTCAATATACCTTGGAATGAATGGTTAATGAACTAAGATGACGCAAATGCTTGATTAATGACCCAAAATGATCCAAGTAGTTGGGTCCCTGCCTGTCTCATGAGAGACCACATGGCCCATCTGGGGAGTTGGGGCAGGGGATACTGTCTCAAGCTCCCTCTCTCTCTCTTTCTCTGTTTCACTCTCTCTGCCTCACACTTATTTTCAAATAAATAAATCATTCTAAACCTATTATATATTTGGGAAAACCAGACAACAGTTTTATCTTTGAAATCAGATTCAGAGAAATCTTGTCTGCATGATCATATGGCAGCACAGAATTCACATTCCTTACGATATACAATTAAAACCATCACACTACAGGCTACACTTATTCAGATGAACAGATAATTACTTATGAGGATTCATTCAATTAATCATGCTTTGCTGAAGCAGATATTTTCCACTTATAATCTGTGGCTCTCTGGGTTCAAGACGTTTCCTTAGAAGTATCTCCTAGATCTAGCAGAAGGTGTGTGGGCCAGGCTATGCTAGCAACCTTTCATCCACATTTCAAAGGCTGCCAAGCTGTTGTTCATTGGTACCCCCCCAATGGGCCCTGCCATTAGTGATCTCACAAATGCGCACAGAAAAGTAATCTCAAGCTCCAGTTTCTTACCAGATCATAGGCAGCGAGCATCTTTTTCTGCACCTCCGGCATTGCACCCAGAGGCTCCAGGTAGGGAAAGCCATCTTTCATCACAAGGCAAACTGAGGGGGTACTGTCGCCGGTAATGAGCCTAGAGGACAGGGTTAACAGGCACTGCTTCAGACTGGCAATTGGAGGGAGTCCACACAGCTCCTTAATAGACACTATCGCATTCTACGAGGAAGAAAACACAGAATCACATTTCTGAATACAGGACACAACATCCAGAGCACTCCTGGGTTTGCATCAAAAATAATCCCTTAAAGACATTTATAATTCAAACCGAACTGGGTGACAACCAACTAAAACCAAGATATGCACAGAGATAATGCAGTGAGCTAATTTTACATTATATACACTTTATGGTCCTCAATTTTCAGCAGTTACCACAAATATGCTATTAAAGTCAGAGCGCACAGAGTGCTTCCGACAGCAAAGCACAGGAATGCTCACATTAACTAGTGCTGGCTGGTCATGAATACCTGACTTGATCTGTATCACAATGACCAGTGGCTGTGTATTGAAGAGCACGCTTTGGGGGTTTTCCCCTCAAGACAGTGGGCTGCTATTTGGTTCACTACTATCAATACTGTTCCTTTGTGATTCCATCAGAAATGTACCTGACAAACACAGAAATACATACCCGAAACCCATTTCACTTAGAGCTGCATTTATTCATGGTAGAGTCTCTGTTAAAAATAGTCACTTTAAACAGGATTAATGGCTATATTACATTTCATTAACAGTGAATAGTACCTAATCTATTATGTGTCTCATGAAGTTAGTTACAATAATAGTAGTTTTTCCACTCATTATGTTCCAAGTAATCCTAAATTCAAAAGATTCTGCATTAAAGTAAGTTATTAGTGCTACCAAGTAAAACCTAATCTATTCAAAACACTCCTTTAGCTGTATTTCAAGTAATAATATAAAAGATGTAGTGATGTAGTTCAAGAATTACATATAATATTTCTAATATATAAGTATAATAAATAATCTATAACTAAGGATTTACAATGGCACTTTAGTTATGTCAGAAATACTGACAATGAAGATACTGATATTTGGAGTTGATTTTTAAGATGGAGACAAAGTAAGGACCTCAAGTTAAATCCTTATAATCTAAACGATACACATACAATTGTATACCATTTTAGCTCTTTATATTTGAGTTTGAGCCTATCCCGGAATGTCTCCATGAAAACTGGATAAAAAATAAAATTTCCACCAAGTTATAAGTTTGTACTTTGGCATCACTGAATAAAAATAGGTTATGGTATTACACAATCGTGAATTTAAAGCCTAAAATTTCTGTTCATTAATTGCAATATTTGGAAAGTTACTTAGCTATATATGCTACCAAGACAGGTGTTTCTGGTAATACTATTCTACAAATGTTAACTGGAAGAATGGAATTAATGTTTTGGATGATATTTACTTTGCAAATTACAGATATTTAGCAACTACTTGGCATGATTGCCTATAAGATCACTAGCCTAGAATAAATATCCTAGGTAGTTCTAAAAAATGTTTGCAACTATCCTTGATTACAAGCATTTACAAAACAAGGAGTTTCTACCTTTTCAGGTTGCGCACTTCCACACTCATTTATTTAATCCTCACAAAAATTCTAAAATTCAAATATTATTTTTCTTACCTTTTGCAGAGAAAACTGGTGATCACAGACCTGAAAAAATCTGTTCAAGACCACATAGGGAAAGATTCAATCCAGAATCCACGTTCTTTCAACTAAACCATATTTCTAAGAAAAGGCTGATTTTCAACAAATGATTGGTTTTGGTTGTACTTAGGAGGAATCATTTATTATCATTCTTATATATTTACATAGCTCAAAAAATTCTAACAGGCAATACACTGGCTGTGTCTTTACATTCTCTTCCAAGATCATATCTGCATACATTTTACCTATATACCTGGAGTGTATGTCCATACACAAGCTTATACGTACACATATATAACATATAAAGATACTTTTGTTTGTACTTGCATCATCTCCTATGCATGTTCCTGCATGTCAATGCAGTTGTGCACTAAGGATACTTGATGAACCCTACAGTATTTTGCTGCACTGATACTTAGTTTAGGCCAACTTGACATAGCATTTGCAAACAGAAACAAATCATTTCTGCTTGTCACAGACAATCCTACACTTAGTTCAGGGGTATATAGGTTTACATACACCACCTTCCCAATCATTTTTTACAAATCTTATCATTCCTAAAACACAATGCTTTTGAAAAAAGTAAGGTAGGAATTAGTACAGACAGAACATGGAACATTTTTCCTACCTGCATATTTTCTCTCATGTCTATAGCTTCTCTTAGGGGATGAACTGCTATTTTAAAGACGTCGTCTATGGTTTTAAGACCGACATTCCTGAGCATGGTATATTCTCGGACTTTCTTCCCCATTCTCACTGAAAGACTGCGCTTCTGTGCCTTTCCACCTCCACTGCGATTAGTTATTGCTATGTGGACGAAAAGGGTTACATGTTCCATGATGTCACCCACAAAAGAGCGCAGGGGAACATGTCGATATCCTGGCTGCAAACATTCAAACGGTATTGTATATTGCCCAATGAACTCATCCCCAATGTAGTCATCATCCAAAACAACAAAACGGATCATGGCCAGCTCGGGCAGGTTTACTTGGAACTCAAACGTCTCATCAAAAATGGGATTATCACTGTTTTGTTGTACAGTTTTAGTTCTTTGTTCTGAACAGTCTGCTGGAATTCCATGTATCTCAATACAAACATAGGGATCTATGACATCCCCTTTGGCACAAGCTCCCTTAGGCTTTGGGAAATTTTGGCCACTGATGATCTTGATATGGAGAGCTAGAGGAGATACCCCAGGTACAATGCCCTTTGTGTTTGCACTGAAGTAAGAAACTTCATCCCGCATGATAGATGGCCTCAGAACATAACCACAGCCTCCATTCTGAAGAAACCAGCCAGTGTGAAGGTCCATCATTGGCCCTGGAGTCTGAAAATTCATTGCCACAATCTGACAGCCACAGTTCCAAAAGTCCTGTGGATTCAAGTTACTGGAATCAATCCTCATGGCGCTTGGATAGACTCTTGATAAGAATTTTTTATTATAATTTACAAAATCCTCTGGGTATTCATTTGCAATGCGGCTGGCCTCCGTTTCACTAAAGGAACAAATTTCCCAATAGTTTTGACTTTTCATAGACAGTTCAAAATCCCTGTACTGAACAGATTGACAAATGGATACCAAATCAGAGAGCTCCCTACAGAGCCAGATTTGTTTCTGTTCACCATTGTAATCTACCGACATCCTGCGAGACATCTCAGCTTCTTCATCCTCATCTGTTACTTCTCCCTCTAACACATCTGAATCTGAAGGCAATTTCTTTCCTTTCACAATGATCATTCGCTTTAATTTTTCTGGTGATGGGAGGTAGGATTCTGAGGGCAAAGGTGCTTCATTGTATAATTTATCACCAAAGACGTTTTTCATCTGTTGAGCCATTACCTTCTGCTGTGAAAGGGTACAGTGATTCCCCAGGCAAAGAATAAGTGGGTATTCAGAAGCAACAAAGGCAAATTTATTTATCACTTCTATGACACTTCGGAAGGAAAGATGTGTTGCCATGTTATTTCGGTTACACAAGATTGGTTCATTCTCTGAGCCATCACTAACATCAAGTTCAATGCTCCGACAGCCCATTTTCAAGGCTCTGACGTACCCATTAATATCAGCTGGTCCCCTGAACTGGTCCTCTATTAGATAAGTGTTATGAGAAGCATTGATATAGTAATGAGATAATGGCTGGGTCATATCTTGGGAAACTTTCTTTTGCTCAGGATCAAAAATGTCACATTCTGGTGACAACAAATACTGAGTAAAGCCATCAATTGCAAGAAACCCTTTCTGACGTCCCTCTTCAGAAAGCTCATATCGCCTAATGATGTCTAAGCACATATCCTCAGTAATATGGCTGACTCCTTGCTCAGCTTCTAGAAAGAGCATAAGGTCATTGGCATCCAAATATTCTTTATTCTTAGATATCTGCACAAGTAAGAAGTACACTTCCGGCCTGGTACAAAGCTCACAAAAAGCTTCACAGAATTCCTCTTCTGTCACTCGGGTGGTTAGTTTTTCTTTGCTCTTCTGGATCTCTTTAAATTTTAACCTGATCTTGGATTCCTTCAGGGTAGGGTTAAGCTGTTTTATTAACTCTACAGAAGTGTCTTCCAACATAATACCATTCCCATCAACATCTGCTGCTTCAAACACTGTTTTCAACCACATGAACCTTGGTGTGTTCTGGTTATCCTCCATAAAATCAAGGGGTTGTTTACTCCGAGAAACCAGGTACCGCAACCCAGACACCCAAATATTTGCTACATCTGCTGAATTGGCAACTAGGTCCAGAGACTCATAGTTTTCCCCATGGAGTACAGAAAAGGCACAATCCTCACAAATCTGGTCGGCAAGGCCATTGTTTCTGAATGTTTCCGTGTTCTTCCCCAGTCTAATCTCTTTTATAGCAGAAATATCAAGCTTGGCTTTCTCCATATCTTTCTTAGAAGGTTCCCAGCGAAGAGCTTGGAGGTCTGTGTCCAGAGTGAAAAACCGGTTGTAGATACGAGAATTTGGCCGGACTTTCTTCAGTTCACAGCCAGCCTGCATGAAGCTGATGCAGTCATTGGCACTGCTAATTTTCTTTTCTGATGGCATGCTGCTGAAAGACACAGTTTTCTTTCTTCCACCACATTTTTGGTTTGCAGGATCCTGTGAAATAATTTGAAAAGTATAAATTGACTGAAACACAGGCAAGTAGAGTAATACTCTAAGAATTTCTCAAAACTCATTCAACTATTTTTGCCTTTTACTGGTTCAGGAGTGAAAGTCTAAGACAATTGATATTAAGTTCAGGGGAAAAAAAGAATGTTGTAAGTCAAATTTCCATGTGTCCTTTAAAATAAAATAAAATATTGGGTTAATTTTAAAGCTCTGCTATTTGTTCAGTGGAGAAGTTAAGCTTAAAATTTCAACCAACAGATCATTAAAATTCATCTGTTCACATAGTGTATCTCAAGCAGGTTAATTATCTATAGTGACTACTTCCTTCTTGAATGTTTCTGAGTCTTAACTACTGTCGTTTGTAAAATACAGGTCCAGTCCTTTGAAAACTCATACCTATAAGGTGACCAATTTTTATCTTATTTGAACTACCCAAAATAGCTGTTTCCTTGAATTCATTTATATTAAACACCTGGTTAATATAATTTAAAATAGATATTTCTCTTTTTTTTATTTTCATGATATGGTTCCAAAGTCACAGGGATTACTCCTTCACATCCTCCCATTCTACCCACCACTATTTTCTCTCACAATAGCATAGTCCTTCAGCAACAACAACAAGTCCAATATTCTGTTATTTAAGTGTATCATGCCTAAAAACGGATCTTTGTTAATATTTTCCTCTGTTCAATGCAATAATGCTTTGATCTTATCATTCATAAATTATCTCAGGAACAAACTTCTAAGAAGTATCTAAATTCACATTGTTGGAGTGCATTTTATAAGAACACAAAAAGGTTGCAATGTCACGTACCAAGGGTATTGTACTAGGGGCAAAACAGCTAGACTCAAATTAATCATGATAATCCCACTCATTAGATATATGATCTTGGGTAAGTCACTTCACCTCTGAATGTTAATTTCAGTTTTTCAACTAGGAATTAGTAGCTTTTATATTAAGAGGTTATTTCAAAGGATTCATGGAATCAAACTAAGTGATAAATCTTGGTACAAACTTTTTTTAAATCCATGTATAATATTTTATTATACATGTTTGGCACCTTTAGGCACCACCTATAAGACCATCTGCGAGAAGGATATCAGGGACTAATCAAGAAGCTAATTCATTCCTGATATCTGAATATTGAAGACAAATCTTCATTGACAAATTTTAAATATTTTTAAATAAACATGTGAAATATTGAAAAGTATAAAACTCAAGTTGTCCAAGGCACCTTCTTCACTAGCATTCTTTCAAACTAGCGAGGATCCTTGCTCTGGGACATCATTTAATTGGTCTTGCCCGTTCAACTCTGCATACACTGTAATTTGGAAAGGCAGAATGATTTATCACTCAATTGACTAAAACCCTGCCTGTGACCAGGAAACAAAGTCTGCTTTAGTTATGGAATGTTGGTGAGATGATTCATTGAGGCAACTATATATCAGATCTTCAAGTGACAAGATATAAATTACCCAATTTAGATTACAGAGTACTGCTTCTTGGTGCCCTGGCATTTAACAATTTACCTCCTGCTACTCCAGAGAGTTGTTATTTTTAAATTTCCCATACTGGTCAATTTCCTCATCCATAAGTGAAAGAACAAATATAACTCTATAGCTGTTTTATGCAAATTCCCTCCTACAACACATTTAAATTTGTCATAGCCCACATGCTCAGAAATGTCAGAAGTCTGTGTGTATTTTCCACAGCATCAGGCAGGCACTTGCTGACACTGTTGAGCCAAGGTCAATCCAGCCATTAAAATAAACAAGGAAAGTGTGAATTGTGATGAGAAATCAGACTATGACTCAAATTTTCAGGCTAACCATTTGACTTGATTTATAAGCTGAGAACTTTCACATTAAAAACTGGGTTGATTTAAGATCATGTTCTAAACATAATTATTGTTAGCAGAGTTAAAACACCTTGAATAGCTCTTTAAGTGGGAAATACAGTGTTCCCCTAAATGCATCTCCCTATGCTTTCAAGGTTGCATGTATGGTATTGCACCAGACCCTTCCACACTTTTCTCTTAACTTGAGCTATTGTGTATTTATGAGAATAAAACACTGCCGTCAGAATAGCTTATCTTATAAGTCTCTATGCTTTATGACAGCTCCTTAAATCAAGACCTTCCCTCCTAGTAAGTTAAACCTTCAAGATTCAAGTGTTTCCTGTGTTACCTAGAAATCCATTTGCACCATGATACTTATCTATTGTTTTGACCTCTAATTCTTACATGGTTATGAAATGTAAAGTCTTAAAACTTGGAACAAGTGAAATGTATAAGATTCTTAAGTTTTGATCTACAAAACACAAAATCAAAATTATCACAAGCTCCCAAATAAGCTAAAAACTTCCTAGAATCTGTGACCAAATAATTAGCTTGTCTATTGATGACTAAAGCTGAGACTTACATATAGAGAGAATATCTACATACATAATGTATACCATATATTGAATTAATACATATACATATTTAAAATATGCTGGACAAATCCGGGACTTGGATATTTCTCTAGTTCTTCCATAGAAAAAGCAAATGTCTATATTCAGTGAATAACCATGCTCTTCAGTGGTTGGGCAACGCATTGGCACAAACACTGGAGGGAGATATGACATTTCAGTGGACAGGGAGGATGAACTGGGTCCCTCGTGGAATGCTGGAACTAAAGATGGAGTATTAGCTTGCTATGCCACTGCACCCATCTCACATTAATTGTGTTTTAAATAACATTGTTGCTTCCGCCTTGTTAGGAATAGCATCATCAAATGAGAGTCCTACATAATAGTAAAAGATCTCTAGGTCTAAAGTTAATGTGCAAAAACATTTCCATAAATTCCCATTTTCATATTTCTTAGCCCAACATGCTACATATACTACAAGTTCCTTAACAAAACTTCAACAAAATCATTTTTCTTCACAGACACTGATGAAGCCTAGATAAACTACTCAGTGCAAACACAGATTCTGACCTCATTTGTGAGTATATTAACCTATATCAATTTAATGATTCAGGGAAGGCATATACTAAAGCAACACAAAAATGACCCAGTGCTTAATGTCATGGAATTGCATCCTAAGAATGGTCAGAGTGCTGTAATTTTAGGGTATGCATATTTGAACAAGATCACATACACACCCATATGCAAAGTATTTTGAAGCATTAAAGATATTAAATGAAGGAAAGATCTTTTTCCCTTTGAACTTCAATTTTTTGGAGAATTCATTATAAAAAAGCATACTCACTGTGAATAAATATGTTGTAGTGGGAAAAATGATATGAATTTGATCAACAGTAGATATTTTGTTAAATGAATTTCATGGTAGCCTTGTAAAACTGTTATTAAATCATTAAAAGCCTTATTTGGGGAGAAAACAAAATATATTTTTTCTTGAGATATTTTTCTATTTTTCTATTTTTATGTTTAATGATACTTACATGTCCGTGTTTCCCTACCTCTAACTCCAAATGAACATGTTTAAACATTTAATCATACCATTGCATATTCTGGTTGTAATTTTTTTTTGGTGACTTGTTAAATCACTGTAAGGTGATTCTTTACACCTTGAGATTTAATGATTGCTTACAGCCCTTGTTCATACTCCTAGAAAACAGTGATTTTTACCCTTTCTACTTGTTGAATTTGTTATTCAGACAAGGATTCAGTTTGTGATTATGAAGTAACCTGAAAGTATGTCATGGCAAAAAGATAAAAGTAAAAGGGGGGAATAAGTGGGGGGGATGAGGGATGGTGGAAAGTATGGTTACATTCTTAAAATTGTATATATCAAGTACATCAATTCTTTTATAATAACTGATTAAATTTTTGAAAAGGGTTCTTCTTTGTTAAAACAATTTAGAAAGCCTTAAAGAATAAATATAAACCTAATATTTTTCAAACTATGATTAGAATAAATCTTTATTTTGTAATGTCAAAATCAAGCTATACAAACACAAAAGAGGTATTCTTTTTTTATATAACTCAAGGGACAACTTATGTTTCAAGAGTTCTCTTAGGAAAGTATCAATAAAATTTTCATGGATTATAACCTCAAGATAAAAAATGCAGACACACAAGCCCTATTCCACCATAGGGATCTCATCTTTTCTTACATGTCTATAAACTGCAATACTATAGTAACAATATTTGCTTCGGTTCCTAACAGAAATTTCGTGATGCATTACATCCTCAAAAGATTATGGACAACTGTCTAGAATCCAGGTCAGCTACAGCACAAGGCATTGAAAGGCCTCTAGTTTTTATTTCTCATTCATTCATCCAACAAAAGTAACAGGAACCTGTTCTTTGTTAGGGACCAGCATATTACAGAGATTTGAAGAAACTGGTAAGCCTGATTTTTATCTTGCATAGATTACTTTGGCTGTGGGCCGGAAGAATGAATTGAAGGGGATGCAATAGGTGTCAAAGACACATTAAGAAAAAGAGATAATGCTGGCCTGAGAAATACCAATAAGATATGGGGGGTATCAAGAGACATGAGATAAAACAAGTTCCCCGTTGGCTTTAGGGTGACTTAATTGGTTCTGATTTGAGGAAGAGGTGAGTAGAAATGTCATTATACAAGATATGAAATATCAGAGGGTGGGAAGTTTAAGGGAAAATTAATTTTTATGTTGGGTCTTCGTGTAAGTTTTTGTCAAACGTTTGAAACAATTATTTGATAGGGAGGGAAAGACAGAGCATCCCCATGCACTGATTCATTGCCCAAATGTTCAGGTGACCAAGGGCCATGGCTGAAGCTGGGAACACAATCCAAATCTATGACAGTGGCAGAAGCCCATCCACCTGAGCCATTGTTGAATTTCCCAAGGTCTGTCCTAGCAGCAGGACGGAATCCAGATAGCTATGCCACTGTGGAGAGTAGGCATCTTAACCACTTTCAGCATATCATGAATGTGTACTTCATGATGTACTTCAGATGAACGGAGAAATTATTTAAATTAATCAATCAAAATTG